AGGAGCTACTAGTAGCTTCTTGTTACTAGCAGTAATGCCAGGAGCCCCTTGTAGCGTCCTTGCTCCTAGTAGAAATGCCAGGAGCTACTAGACTAGTAGCTTCTTGTTACTAGTAGTATTGCCGGGAGCCCCTAGTAGCGTCCTTGCTCCTAGTAGAAATGCCAGGAGCTACCACTAGCTTGTTGTTATTAGTAGTAATGCCAGGAGCCCCTACTAGCCTAGTAGCGATGCCAGGAGCCCCTAGTAGCGTCCTTGCTCCTAGTAGAAATGCCAGGAGCTACTAGTTACTAGTAGCTTCGTGTTACTAGTAGTAATGCCAGGAGCCCCTAGTAGCGTCCTTGCTCCTAGTAGCGATGCCAGGAGCCCCTAGTAGCTTCTTCTGCCTAGTAGCAAGGCCAGGAGCCCCTAGTAGCGTCCTTGCTCCTACCCGCCCCCCGACTTGCTTGCGGCGTTCGACATTTAGACAGAGATTTTTCTGCCACACCCAGGAAGTCCTTCTTTGCCACGGACACCTTGCCGCGAGAGCTAATGCTGGAGCTGACCAAAGACGTGTTCCAAGGCACGGAAAATCCCGAACGACTCGGCGTCGGGCGAAGCTTGGGAAGCGGCAAAGACTCGTCCCCGCTCACCGTAGTGTGTCCTGTGTGTCGTTGTTTGCGGATTCCTTTGTGGTACGTTTATTGTCTTTAGTGTTCCCTCTGCGGTACTATCAAGGCACTAGTAGCGTTCTTGCTCCTAGTAGGACATTTCTACGGATCCTTCGAAATCACCCAGAAATTCTTGTCATGTTCCACCTCATCCCTGAGAGCGCCCAACTGCAGGCAAGCTTCTGCGCAACGAGTCGGGGGGGCCCTGAGAGAATTTCGTTTGATGTCGAGTCATGTGTTTCTGCGCAGGGTCGTTCGACGCCGAAGTGGTGGGGTTGTTCTCTGTGTTTCACGGAGGTTATGGCAACGGTTGAACAGACGTTGCAAGAGTATTACCCCAAAACAGAGACACATAGACATCCGACGCACAGAGACATCCGTCGCGTCGCTGGTTTCAGGTTGTTGGTGGCGGTCGAGCGGCACGGTGTGGGGCCTTGGATCATTCAGTCCTGTCATAGTAACAAGTGCATCGCTACTAGGGGCTCCTGGCATCGCTACTAGGAGCAAGGACGCTACTAGGGGCTCCTGGCCGTACTACTAGGAGCAATGTCCGCAGCTAGGGGCTCAACAAAGAATAACTCTGTTTAACGTGTTATGCAGCCCACGGATCTGCAGAGTTCAAAACCACTGGGATTTGCGTCAGGTCCTGCTGTGGCTGTAGACGTTCAGGGTTTAGGGTTTAATTAGGGTTGTTTTTCTTAGGAAAAAGTATGGTGACTTTGACTGGACGTCCTCGAATGCACCCCCATGGACTGGATCAAGTTTAAGTCAATGCTATGGGTGGGTGGATGGATTTCCATCTTTTGCCTCCGAAGTGGCAAACCACACTTGCCAACAAGACGTCCTTTCTTGTTCTGGTATGCGCGCGGAAATCCTACTGCGCACAAAACCTCAGGAGATCGTAGTGCAACACACTCAACTGATCATGCACAGGCATTGTAGACAGGTCGAAGACAATCCTTGAAGAGGCATGTTCGAAATGATCGCTGGTAGGATCTTGTAGGTAGCTGCAAAGGCTTGTCGAATTTTGGCGCTTGTAGGTAGCTGCAAGCTTGAAATGATCGCCAGCAAAAGCGGGCAGGCATTTGACTTCATCCCTATTGACCATACCTTCCCATGGTTTTCTTCAATGTCTCAGTGGCCTGCACATCCCATTGCCTTTCTGTTCATGCTTGGACAGGCATTCCATTGCCCCCTCGGCTAGCTCTGATGTTGGCGGCCGTGATGCATCCGCCACTCGGATCTCGACTCGTGCGGATTGCCTTCTGTTGACATCCGGAGACCGAGTAGACCGAACCTCTTTAAAGCCCGCTCCCCTTCTCCCTACTTCATTAAGTAGGTGCCGACTTAATTAAGTAAGGGAGAGGTCGCTAACTTAGTACTTGCAAGTAAGCTACTAGTATGGACGCAGGATAGCTCGGGCTAATGATTTGGTTCCTAGATTTTCAGGGAAACTTGAGGTAACAGATGGATTCCTATCTGCGGTCTTCTGGGGTCTTGATCTCAGACTTGTAGGCAAGTTGCAGCAAGCGCTCGAAGGGCACATGGCCATATGGGCCATATTTATGACCATGTTGCTTGTTTGGTCATTTGAACTGTACCCAGTTAGGGAAGAGCAATCGATATTTTGGCCAATGGATCTTGGCAGAAAATCACATGAAGCGATCATGTGGAGTCCTGAGAGAGTATACCGAGTACGCCGAGTACCTACATCTACGCTAGTACTGGTGGGAATGATGCCCCAGATGACGACCACTCCACATGTTCTTCTTTTTCGTTGAAAAGCGAAACGAGGAAGAACTTCCAGTTCATGGAGGATGTCTATCAGCCCGGGGCACTCAAAGCTTGGCTGGAGGCGGATTTCAGGGAAAGCCCAAACAGCCAGCCCAAACAAAGCCACTCGAGAGTCCAAGATCCCACAAGTACCCGTGTGATTTCTTTGGTTTGTTTGCCATTGTCACTCATTGTCACTCCTATTTCCAGGTGTGCTGAACATGCCAGACTGCACCTTACTACTAGGAACAAGGTTCGCTACGTTCGGGGCTCCTGGCATCGCTACGTTCGGAGCAAGGACGCTACGAACGGGTCCTGGCCTTACTACTAGGAGCAAGAAGCCATGGATATATCTGTAGAGCTAGGTTAGAGACCATCCCTCTTAGGTTTGCTTAACTTCATCGGGGCGGGATGGAGTGATAGGGGAATGGCATCACGAAGAGGGGTTGGCAGATGTTTCTCTACAGGCATTAGAGAGGTTGTGCAGCAGGTACAAATGAGGGTGAAGACATCAATGCTGCACAAGTTCCAACACCAAGGAGTTGAGCAGACACAGAAAAACTGTAAGAACCGTGCTGGGTGAATATCACCAGAAGACAGCCGGCCTCTTTTTTCTGATGGGTAAGAAAACTGTCCAAACGGGATGTGCTTGGAACAAGAAACAGATCTTTGGATGCCACACTGAGCTTTTGCACTCTTCCCATTTGGTCACAGGACATTTGGATGCCACACGCATGTGCACAACGATCCTTGCGTTGGTCGGTTTGATCATCTCCGGTGCCATCTTCGGTGCCCGAAGAACAGAAGACATCATCCTCCCGTCGTGATCCTCGCAGACTAAGGAACGCGGACCAACCGGTGCATATCTACCTGGTGATGCGAGGCAGGGAGAAACCCGATGGTCGACGGCGTTGGTCGCAGACTGAAGCCCCTGAAACGTCAGCAACGGCAGCTGCTCATGGTGGCGAACTCCCACTTTCCGCCAAGCTACTAGTAACAGGTGCCTCGCTAGTAGTAACAAGTGCCTCGCTAGTAGTAACAAGTGCC